ACTGAAAATTGTGTCTCGGGGGGGGGGGGTTGGGGGTTGGTTTCTTAATAAACCTAGTTTAGGTTTGGAGTAAAGTTGAAGTTAATTTAGGGTACCTGCTAGTAAACAAACAAAAAAGGACACAGGCACCTGATTATAAATCTTTTCTTAAGTCTTTAACTGAATTTAGTGGCAAGTTTGAAGTTCATTCAAACTTAGAATCAAGGCTGTGTCAAGCTATTTGGGACTTTGGCAGTAACAAACTCCTTCATTCTCTCTTTCCAAGCCCCATGTCCTACTTATTGCCATTTGAGGAGGCAAAACCTATAGTTCACTATGCCAAACACTGGGAATTCCAAAGTGGGGGGGGAAGAGAAAGGGAGGGAGGGAGGGAGGAGAGAGAGAGAGAGAGAGAGAGAGAGAGAGAGAGAGAGAGAGAGAGAGAGAAGAAAAAAAGAAAAGAAAGCACTAGAAAGAAAAGGCACTAGAAAGAAAGAGAAAGGAAGGAAAAACAAGAATGAAAGAAAGAACAAAAGAGAATGGAAAGAGGAAGAAGGAAAGAAAGAAGGAAGGAAAAAAGAAAGAAAAAAGCAAAAAAAGAATAGAAAGAGAAAAGAAGGAAGGAACAAGAGAATGAAAGAATAAAATACAAATGGAGGGAGGGAAGAAGGAAGAGAGAGAGAGAAAGAAATAATTTCTCAATTATTGAGAGGAAGGAAAGAAGAAAGAAAGAAAAAGAAAGAAAGAGAGAGAGAAGAAGGAAGAAAGGAAGGAAGGAAGGAAGGAAGAAGGGAAGGAAGGAAGGAAGGAAGGAAGGAAGGAAGGAAGGAAGGAAGGAAGGAAGGAAGGAAGAGAAAGATCATGAAATTTATATTCTATAGGAGGAAAGCAACATGCACACAAATGATTATTCACCAGAATCTCTCCACATTCTGTCCTTTGTCCCCAGACTAAATCTGACATGGTGGGAACCACGCACACATTTACATTTAATGAAAGATCGACAGCTTTGAGGAGAGACACAAAAACATAGTATCATAGAATGCTAAAGTGAGAAGAGACCTTAGAATTCATCTAGTTCAGTCCCGTTATTTTAATAATGAGGAAATTGAAACCTGACTTCCAGCTGGCCTCTCAGACTCTAGGCCTTTCCCTCTTCTAGACCTTCAATATTATTCTTTAAATATAACTTTAATTATGTCACTTACTGAATCAAAAATCTTCATCCCTATTTTATCAATCTAAATTTGTCTACCTGGTCCCATCCTACTTATTCAACCTTATTTCCCATTGCTCTCCCACCATGAGCCCTACACTCCAGTCAGGGAGTCTGAACCCTGTGTTCCATTAACATGTCACTGTCATTCTTGTCTACCTATTGCCAGCTTAGAAGAATCTTTACCCTGTTGTAGCTTATAAATGTATGGCACAATTCTTTGTACTTTTTTCCCCAAATATGATAACCAAGTCACACTTTTTAATAATTCCAAAAGATCAGGGCATTATTATCTCTTTTTTACAATTTTATTAATTTATTGATTTATCAACAATCACTTCCATATGCTTTTGAGTTGAAAATTTTTCTCCCTCTTCTCCCCCCTACCCTCCCCAAGACAGCGCACACTCTGATATAGGCTAGGGCATTATTATATCTAATGTATTTTGGAAGCTTTAACTTGGAGAGTGGGGAAAGGAGGGAGAGTAATGGATTCTAAAGGATAATAACAGATCATAGAGTCCCAGGGTTTGGGGAAACGGTAAAATCTTATGTCTTCTACCAATGGAGTTATCTTGTCAGCATTGAAATTCACCCCAATACTAACCAAATCAAAATCTCTTTCCTTATTGGATAGAATTTCCAATCCTTCATTTTCCTCATAGTGCCTTAGATGCTATTTTATAGGGAGGAAAGAGGCTTGACTAGGTGACCTCTGGATATTACCCATTTGCCTATTTTTGTTATGAATATAGACTAGCTTGCGTCCTCTGGTTTCCTTGGAAGGGTCACATGTTCTGTCCCTTAATACAGGGACCAACCAATAGTCATTGATCATGTATGTCCTTAAACCAGATGTCAAAACGTGTCACTTCATGCTGAGGGAGATGCCTCAGTTCAACAGATCAAGGGGTTCTCCACATCACCACTCTAACATTTAATTGTATCAAAAGGGTAGGGACTGGGACTGTGATTCATTGGTACAAGGAAGTCCCAGGTGGGAAACTTTCCATGTCAAAGAAATTTAGCACATTGTTGCAGTTTTGATTCTTAGAAAGTTGGTTGGAGCACTGAGAGGTTATGTGACTTCCTCTGGTCACAGAGACAGTATGTCTCAGAGTCCAAACTTTGTGAAGCCCAGTTGTATTGGCTTCAAGACCAGCTATCTATCTATTGCTGCCTGTCTATCTACCACCTGCCTCTCTAACTATATCATATATAAGTTAAATACTCTGGCTATGTTATCTTTAATCTGCATTTATGTCTCTTTCTTGCCACAGATTTTATGATATACAATTAAAAAAAAACCAAAACACTTCCTTTTTAGGTAACCAGAGGCTTAGACCCCCAGCCTCTGATAGGAGGCAGAATCAAGGACTAGTCTTCAAAAGATGGATTAATTTGTGGCTATGGAAGAAAACGATCTCACATTGATGCCTGAAGAGATGACAGTGACATCTTGCACAGAAAGATGAAACAATCTAGCTAGAACTAGAGCTGAGGTGTGACTATGATCTGGTAGTCCCTTTCTGTTGAGTGCTAGGATTGGCAATATTTTATATCAGTTTGCAAAGGGAGGGCGTTTGTAGGGGAAAGGGGACTGAAGAGGAACCCCAGTTTCCAAACATTGGTTTGGGGCCCTGGAATGTTATACATCTATCAGTCCTTTTCATTGTTTTTTTTTTCTTTAAAAACTGTGCTGAAGATGAAAAAATAAGACTGACTTAGTGATTCTACTGGGTCCGCCTTGGTTAGTACAAGAATTAGGGTATCAAATTTATTCTAGATTTGAAAGCTACTTATACCTTTTCATACCCAGCATTCAAGCTTTATTTAGGAACTTTGTTTTATAAAATTCATTCCTCTAAGATTTATTCAATGCTCATTGTGTGGAAAACATTTGATCAAGTGAGATGGGAAATAGGCTAGATTGAAATGGATGTGGAAAAGTATTTATTAGCTCCAGGAATCAGAGGGCATGGGTCCAAATTATGGTTCTGCTACTTATGACTTGTGTGACCTTGGGTAAGTTGCTTCCTGCAACAGGAGAGGGATTGTCCTTCCCAGAGTGGCCTAAAAGGAGATTAGTGGTTGTGTAGTCAACCCTCCCTCCCCACCTTGTTTTACACATTTAGAAATTTAGATCCATAAATATGAAGTGATTTACTTAAAGGTAGACATTTATTAGGTGGCAGAAGTAGGATAATAAAGAATTTTTACTGATCACACAGTGGCATTGGGTTCAAATTCTGCCTCCAACACTCCCTGTGTGACCTTGGGAAGTGACTTAAATTCTCTGGGCCTTACTTTCCTCACCTGGACAACAAGAGAGTTGGAACAGGGGGCCTCGTCTTTTCCAATTCTAGATATACGATCCGATGATTCTTCAGACCTTTGGGCAAAGAGCAGGCTACAGCACAGATAGGCTGAATTTTCAGCTGTCAGTCCAGAGTTGTGAATATCACAAACTATGCCTGTTCATAGTCCAGGTGAGTTGACTTTTTTTTCTGAAAAGTTTTTATTTAGCAGCTGAATTGCTGGTAATTTAAAATATAGCCTCTAAGATATAGATAAAATCCAATGCCAAGTTCTGTGCCTCAAGGAACATAATGGCACCTCATGTTTTAAGATGTCACTTTAAGGTAATAGAACTCTTTATTAAAGTTAGGTCACAAAACTTGTTAATTTTTTTCCTCTTCTCCCACTGAATCTTGAGACATGATTTGGGAACATACATGTGTGTGTGCATGTATATATACATATATATATGTATATATACACATAAACATATATACACATGTATATACACATATATACACATATGTTAGACATAGCTGTATATCTATAATTACATATCTATATTGTTCAATGATTCCTATGAACATTCTCTCATTTCTCCTGCCCAACAGTACTTTGGTTTGCTTATACTGAATATCCTTGTAAATCAAGCAATAGCCATTCCTCATACCTCTCACCTTCTCACTTTCAACAAGGGTGTTTATGTTTCACCCTTCCTGACCTTCCCCCTTCACTTTTCTCTATATAACTACCATCCAGCCCTCGGCATCCCAGCTTCCGTCTCCCTTCCTTCATCCCTTTTCCCATCTGTCAGGGATTCTCCTTTTCTATTTCCTTTCCTCCAGATCCTCTCCCTTTCTCTCACATCTCCAATCTCTCCTTCTGGGGGGGGGGCGCGTTGGATCTCCTTCATTTTTATTTCCCCCTCTTCGTCTCCCCCTTCTCCCCTCCCTCTGCTCCGCCCCATGGCCCATCCTTCTCCACCCAGGTTCCTCTCTCCATCCCCCGCCCCAACACACCCTTCATCCCGTTTCTCCCCTGCGGCCCCCCCGCCCCGCCCCGATCCTGGGGTGGGCGCGCGTGTAAGCACGCGCGTGCACACACATACAAATAAACACATACATACATGCACACCTCCTTCTCTCCCCCTCTCTAGGCCAGGCCTTCCCGCTCCCCACCAACCCTTCCCTCCCTTCTCCTCCTCCTGGTGACGTCTGGGTCCCTGCCCGTCTGAAAACTCCGCGCCGCGGCGGTTGTGAAGGAGGAGGAGGAGGTGGAGGAGGAGGAGCAGTCGGAGGAGCAGCGGCGGCGGCGGCGGCGGCAGCAGCAACAGAAAGAGGAGGCGGCAGCAGCTGCCGGCGGCTAGAGGCAGGAGGGAGCCTCGGGGAGGTCGGGCAGGAGGGGGAGAGGAGGAAGGACGCTGGGTTGGGGAGCAAAGTGCCCTGGAAAAGAGAGCCAAAGCCCGTAGCAGCCGAGGCAGCGGCAGTAATCACCGCGGCGGCGGCAGCAGCAACAGCGGCGGCGGCGGCACCTCCAGCTCCAGCCCCAGCCCCAGCCCCAGCCCCAGCCGCCGCCGCCACGGTGAAGATGGTGGCTGCGCTGTGCGCCCGGAGACTGGCTCGGCGCTCGCACTCGGCGCTCATCGCGGCGCTTACCGTGCTGCTGCTGCAGACCCTCGTCGTGTGGAATTTCAGCAGCCTGGACTCGGGGGCCGGCGACCACCGAGGCGGTGAGCAGCATGCCGGTGGAGAGCCGCCCCCAGCCCCGCGCCGGGAGCGCCGGGACCTACCCTTGGAGTCTCGCGCTGCCACTGGAGGAGGAGGAGGAGGAGGAGGAGGAGGAAGGGGCCCCCAACCGCCAGGGGACAAGCTGCCGCGGGAGCGAGGAGGCGGTGGCGGCGGGGGCCACGGCGAGCACCGGTCGCAGCGCAGGGGAGGACCTGCTGCAGGCGCGGCTCAGCTGCCGGGCCAGGCTCTGGTAAGATACCTCCTTCAGCCCTGCTGAACCCCCCTCCCCCGCTCCCCGGACCGAGGCTGGCTGCATGCGTGCGGTGCTGGGGGAAACTAGGGTGGGAAGGAGGGATCGAGTGAGCAAGCCCTAGAAGCCGCGAGCCCGGCTCTCCTGAGCCTGCAGCATCTGACACAGAGCCCCTGTCTTCCTCCCTTTCCTGGGAACTGGGGAGTTCAGCCCTGCGGAGTAGAGGTGAAGGGGACGGCGTGTGTGTGTGTGTGTGTGTGTGTGTGTGTGTGTGTGTGTGTGTGTGTGTGTGTGTGTGTGAAGGTAAGGAGCAGACCAGGAGAAATGGGGGAAAATTATGGAGCGGAGACTAGAGAAGGGGTTGGGGAAAGGAAGTGGATTGGTGTCCCTAGTCCCGGTAGAAACAGGCCGGGGTTGAAAGGTCCCCGGGTTTTGCTGCCCACGGGTCCGCAGATTGGGGGTGTGGCCGCTATGTTTTTACTTTGAAGGAGAATCGAGGATCCTGGAGAGGAACCCAGCTGTTCCCATTGGAGATCGGTGTGACCTCGGGGAGATTTGGTGTGGGAAAAAGAGGGATTCATCTTCAAACCGAGAGGCTGCGAAAATTTCTTGAGTGATGGTGTCAGGACAGAGCTGGCTTACCGAGGGTGGCACTAGAGCCTTCCTGCCTCTCCAGTTTTCCCTCGTTAAGTTTCTGCCTCTTTTTTCCCACTTGTCCCTTTCTCTTGGTCCTTGTGTGTTCGTTTCTCCCTGTGCCTGTGTGTGTCTTTATATTTAGGACCCTGTATGTCATTCCATTCCTGAATTTTTCTCTACATGTCTTCTGCTTCTGCATTACTGTGTCTCTGACTCTGACTGTTTCTCTGCTTTTATGTCTGTCTCTATGTCTGATGAGAATCTCTATGGCTTTGCTCTCTAGAAGGTCCTTGCCTGGTGTGTCATGGCCTCTGGCCTCTAGTAGTGAGTGTCCTGTTTCTGTCTCTGCCTTCGGCGTTTTGGCTTCTAGTCTTCTAATGTGGGTCTGGATCTCTATGTAGATATCCCTTGCCATTACCCTCTCTCTGGCTGGTGTAGAGATGGCAGAACTGTGAGCGGTTTCTTTTGCAAACCCATACAGTGCCTTGGGCTTTGACTGGGACTTGAGCCTGATTGGCCAGGTCTGTGCCCTGCTATGCCCCTTACTCTCTTCCACTCTTGGGTGTTTGCACAGCCTCTTCGTGTCCTGTCTGAGGGGTCTTGCCTGTTCCTGAGCTAGACTAGAGCTTTCACAAACAGAATAGATGGCCCTGAGACAGCTGGATCTCTTGAGTCTATGCGTGTCAGTGTCCATGTGTGCTCCTGTGGATGCTGCCTCTGAATTTCTATGTACAGTAATGTGCCTCTGCCATTCCTCTGTAAAAATTCACTTTCTCTCTGGGGAGATTGGGCGCCAAAGGACATAGGAGACCAATGCAAAAACTGAGTAACTCTCCTGTATTATTAGAATCTCTATTTTGAGACAATTGCCACCCTTGAAAATACACACATACACATATAATATATACACACGTTCATATATATTCATCCGTACATATGCATATGCTTGTATGTGTTTTCAAGATCTGTTAAACTTCCTTTAAAGTCAGTGATGGTATGTGCCAACCCAAAGCCTACTGTGTCTCAGTGCTGAGCAGCCCTAACACAGGATGTGTTGGCATTTCACATTCCCAATTTGTCTTTATGTTAGCAGCTCATTTATTTTTAGGGAGAATAAACTGGCATTCCTGATGATAAAGAACAATAAATAAATCAGAGCTACTTACCCTCCCTTGTTTTTAGTAAAATGCTTAATTCACTTTTCTAGAGCCAGCCCTTGGTGGTGTGTTCAGGTAGGAATGGAATTAGATATTCCCTTAAACAACAAAGTCCTAGGGAGGCAATTAGGGTATAATGGTCAGTCAACAAGAATTTATTAAGCCCCTAGTACTGTATGTGCCAGGCACTGTGCTGAGCACTGGAGATACAAAGAAAAGGGGAAAACAGTCTCTGTTCTCAAGGAGCTCACATGTAAATGGAGGCAACAGTCAGACAGTTATGTACTAACAAGATAAAGAATAAATTGGGGATAGTCTCAGAGGGAAGGCACTAGGATTAAGGAAGAATGGGAAAGATTTCTTGCAGAAGGGATTTTTTTTGAAGACTTGAAGGAAGCCACACTCGCTGGTTGGGAATAGCACTGCTTTTAATCTGATTCAGCTTTTCATTATCAAATCTTGGAGTTTTAGGAATAAGGGAAAGCCCCAATGGAGAAGAGAGTATCTTTCTGAAGGGAATAATTGAAAAAAAGTGGTTAAGATGCCTACATTTGTGCTTATTCACTTAATTATTTTAATCTCTCACCTTGGAGGAATCTTTGTACCGGGCAGGATTTTTTCTCTTTTCCTTGGTTCTTTAGCAAAGTGTATGGAGTATCTTCTTTTTAATTCAGAAGCAATGATGCCTGTTGCTCCCCTTAGCTTTTCTGAATTTCAGCTTTAGTACCAATTTGTATTCTCTCTGGCATATATCTACATTTTCCCACATTCAGATATCTTTTTCTTTCTTGAGGTTTTCCATTTCTCTCCTTGTTGTCTTTGGGGTTGCATTTATTTATTTATTTTCCTTGTTTCTCTACTGTGTTTCCCCTTAGACATTACAATTCAGACACACTGCTAGGGCTCTCAGTCTGTAGGACACACCTCAGAAGTCTGTACCCCACCCTATACTTGCCCTTCACCCAATGAGGCCAGAAGGGGGCAGGCTTTTCCCAAAGTCCAGTGTAGTAAAAAGCTAAGATAACTGGGAGGAAAAGAGAACGGAAAGAGTGAGTTTTTCAAGGTGCAAATGATTGTACTTTGTTTCCTAAACCCTCGTAGGGCTGCATTTTGGGTGGCATGATAACAGTCAGGAAGTGGAGGTTGTCAGATGTTTGGGCTCTTCCAGAGCACATGAATAGAAAACGTGATGGAAAGCAGCTTAGAGATTATAATTTATCTCTCTGACCTTCAAGCTCCAATATCTTTTAATTTTTATCTAGAGATTTTGAAGAGAATAGACAGTATGTAAAGTGCTTTGCAAACTGTAAACTACTACATAAGTGTTCCCTATTATTATTCAGTTACAGGCAGTTATATCAGTCATCTTGGTGATGTATGTCTCAAGTAATATTAAATAGAGACGGGAAATGATAGTCTCCTTAGTAAGAATTGTTGATGGAGTATTTTATAAACATATCAAAGGAAATACATCCTTTTTTTTTCTGAACACATTAGGTGGTGGACGTTTTGGTTTGCAGCAAGGAAACTTTATCAAAGAGTATTAAGAAAAAAAAAAGAATTATGAGACCTATCCTTTCTTATCCCACATCCTCCAGGAACTATCCTCTTCCATTCCAATCTTCCATCTCCTAAAATTCACAGATGAGCAAAGATGATATTGAGAAAAAAATAGGTGTTGTATAAAGCAGATGCTCATTCCTAATTTTTTTTTTTATTGTCCTGAACCCCTTGTGCCCTGGCAGTCTGGTGAAACTTACAGCCTACTTTTCAGATGAATGTTTTTAAGTGCACAAAACACAGCACATAGATTACAATGGAAAGCAATTATACAGTTATCAAAATATTAAACAAAATTATTGTATGTGCCTGTGCTTCTTGAATATAATTCCTCTAATAGGGGTTCCATCAGCCCTGACTTTTAAAACATCATTCTGGGATGTGAGAAAATAGATTGGTGCTCTGTACATTTTTTAAAATTGTTATCTAACTTTCTGCTGGAAATGAATTCATGGGACATTAAATGTAGATTTGCAGAAATGGCTGTAAATGAGAACTTATATGCCATGTTGTTTATTTTCCTTTCTTGAAAAATGTACTCTTGCCTTCAGAGCTTAGCACAGTACCTGGCTCATAGTAGGTGCTGAATAAAGGCTTGTTGACTTGCCTTGCTTCTTCTCTGTGGTAGATAGCATTTAAGTCTTCTCATTTGATACTTATGGGATACTAGCACCTTTGCTTATGGATAAATTGTTGATAAGTAGGTGTTATTTAAGGACTCTAACTTCTAATCCTTTTCCCTTCCAAAGAAGAATGGATTTTCCATACCATCTGACCCTTTTAAATGTTGATTTTTTTTTGCTGCAGAACTTCCTCCTAGTTCACATTTCTCAGATTGTTGAGGACCTTTTCAGATGCTGGCTGCAACTAAAAAATTGGTCTCACTTATCCAAATAACCTTTGGATCTAACAGTCTTGAAGATAAAACACACTTGTTCTTTCTCCACAAATGTTTTGAGGATGCAGAGAACAGAAAATATTTTGTTAATGGTTAATTCTTGAACTCCTGATAAAGTTTTATTTTGTTTAAGCAATACTTTACACTTTGTATACAGGATGCATCATTGTACAATATTTATACTTCCATGAATACTGCCATCTGCTTAATCATATAAAGGAAAACTTCAAATAAGTAAAAGTAGTACTTAATATATACATGAATTTATAGTTATAGATAATCACTTTGCTTTGCCCTTTCATGGACTATAGTCCTAGGTGGCTCATTAATTCTCCTTTCTTCCCTAGAAAGTTGAGTGACAGGTATTCCCTACAGATAGAGAAACAGAGGCATTGAGTAATTGCTGTGTCTGAGATGGCAACACAAATAGAGCCATAGAACTGTGGTAGTCAATAATCTTGTGGTATATTAGGATCATAGACCCAGAGCTGGAAGGAAACCCATAGGCCATCTAGGCCAACTACATTTTACAGATCAAACCTAGAGAGGTTGAGCATCTTGGTAGTTAAGCATCAGAGCTAGGATTTGAACCCAAGCATCTAACTCCAAAGCCAGTGTTCTTTCCACTCAACCACACTTTCTCAGTATCTTTGCATTTTCATGTCTGTATAACAAAATGGAAAAATATTCCTTATCAAAAGTATCTCACTGGGAATTTCCCAAGGGAGTTGTCCAGGTGTGGGAAATAG